CGTAGACCTCTATCTTATATTTCTCTGAAGTTGTAATGTATAACAATCCATACAGATCCAACCCAAATATGCCAAACTCCTGTGAGGATGATAGTTCGTCTTGCGTAAATTCACGTTATACACGAAATATGCAATTTATCAATTTCCTAAAATGCAACTACAACCCCAATCTCAAAATATTCCTTTTCAAATACCCGCACCAATGCCTTCTTATCCAATTTCACTGACTTCAGAGCAACCTTCTTTTCCTCCATTACCAAATTTAATGAACATGAATCAATCTCATTATATGTGGTCAATGCCACCCCAATATGGTATTCCAAATGCATTTGGAATGCCTTATCAACAAGGAAATTTCATGCCAACTGTATTCTCTAGTAACCCCATTGAAGTCCCAAGACCTTGCACGATCCCAAAGGTTGAAGGACTTGCCAACATTTGCTTTGATACAGATCGTTGGGCAAGGCGTGCGCGGGCGACGCGGTCGCTGTCAGTGAAGGTGATGCACACGTGGGCACGCAACGGCCAAGAATCTTGCGCAGGCATGGAAAACGCAGACGTGACACGCAAGAGCCCAAGGACCTCGCACAGGCGTGCGCAGATAGCTGGGCAACGTGCTTTGCGGGCCAAGACAACGAACCTTCTAGATGGCGGATCTTCTAGAGTTTCCCTAGCATTATGATCCTAGTTATTATTTCCTAGTATGTTTATGTGATTGTTTATTTGGGTCATTCTTAGGATCCTAGTTATTTGCTTTCCTTATAACTATAGTTTAATTCCTCATAGGCTTAGTGTTTCTTTTCTTTAAATACCTATGATGTTCGAATTATTCAAGCAATAATATAACAAAAAATCGCTCATCTTGAGCACAAATATCTTGTGATTAACAAGGTCATTAGTGTTTGTTTTCAAAAACGATCATGTAGAAGCAAGACTGTTAGCACGCACTTCTGCGCAAAACAAGTCCATGATACTAGATCTTAACCATCGGGTTGTAGCAGGGGCTGGTCATCATCCCGCACCTGCCGCATCACCCGCGCGCAGTCGGGCCCTTGTCGCGCCCTGGCTGCATGCAGACCCGCAGAGCCCCGCATCCCAGCACACTGCCGGCGTGTTCCTTGCGCGACCTGCACGGTGACTCACGTGTCCTTCGCGAGACCAGACAGCGAGCTCCTGCGCCAGTGCGGCCCGCTTTGCCTTGCGCGACCCGCCAGCGAGACCTGTGTGCCTGTGCGGCATGTCCTGCATTCCAGCTCGTGCCCGAAGTTCCCGCGACCTAGACCTCTCCCAGCAAGCAGTCCAAGCTCCTCAGCACTAGACCCGGGTCTGTCTGGCCAGCCCGAGTCTAGTTCGGTCAACCGAGTCACCAGCACCCAAAAGCGGTCCATCCCGATTCAACAGCGGTCCAGAGTGGTCCAACAGTGGTCCTGCAGCCCCGGCGAGCTCAAGGCGAGCTTCGAGAAATTCGACCAAGCCACCGAAGGTCCGGGACAGTCCGACGGGCCCTAGGAGGAACCGAAGACGTGATGGCGCTGCCCAGTCGTGCAACCTAACGAACTCTGAGGTTTAGACGATCTCCAACAGTGGAAATCAGAATCATCTCAGAGTCGACAAAAATTTTAAACTGAGAGTCCTAATCCTAACAATAGATTCCGTTGTGTTAGAATTTATTTTTATTGGATTTGAATGTGCATGAGATCGACTTTCCTCATAGAACCCAGCTCACCTCCCCCTCCCCGGCTGAAGCTCCTCCCTCACCCGTCTGGATGACCACCTCATTTCCTTTTGCCTAGCCCGAGTTCACCCGATCTACATCCGGCGCCAAGACTTGATTTACCCCCGACAAACTGATCCTAGGAGTAACGAGTGCTCCTTTTCCGTTAGACCATCCCGGCGGCGGCCATCTCCAAAAAGTGTTTTAGCCAGCCACACCTCCTCCAAACTCTCATTGAGGTTCTTTTTCCTGCTTCTCGTCCGCCATAGTCATCTTCTCCATCTTAGGTTCCCCTTGAAATGGCAAAGAAACAGTAAGTGTCCCACAGACAACGCCAATTGATGTGTTGTCGCACCTCAAATCAGCTCTTCTTCATCCTTACACCAATTTGCTACTTGAAGATCTGCAAAATACGTTGGTAGGTGTCCCTGGCATAATACCTCTGACGATCAAGTCAGTGAAGGGTTATGGAAAGTTGTTTGTAATTGTATTGTACAACTTAGATTGTATAGAGTGATTAACCTTTTACCTTTCATACCTCTCGCCTATTTATTGTGGATCATTGGCTTATTGAACAAGTTTTACCCTACTCGGCTGCCCGAAGACCTGCTCGAGTGCCCGAACTTCCCGAGGCCTTGCCCGACAATTATTTGGATACCCTTAGGTCTGCCCGACGCTCATTCTTATCTATAGGATCATATAGATTCTTCCTAGATGATCCTTGACGTGTCTCCTATCAATAGGTCTTCCTATGCTTTCATTCATAGGTCTTCAGCTTCCATAATTCTTCCTTTAGAGTAAGTATCCACAAATCAGCTGCCACATAGGGGACCCCGATCTATTAAACGTAGGTCTACCCCCTCTATCCGAGCAACCATATATCGAAACTACCGACATACTAACATTGTGTTATCCGTGCTATTGGCGTACTAGCTACATACTGTCCAAGCTACTATATCTCCAAGCTACTGTCATACTAACACCATGCTATCCGAGCTATTGTCATACTAGCAACATATTGTCCGAGCTACTGACATACTAGTACCATTCTATCCGAGCTAATCGGACCGAACTTTATCCCATCTACTCATGTGACCGATTTACTCAGAGCTAAATGGAACCAATTCACCAAAGCCACTTATATATGTTGTATCAATAGGATGAGTTGCAATTGTAGCATCGATTTTTATTTGGCATTTCCTACCCAATGAAGACCAAAAAACCGTTGAACACGAGGATTTCCTAGCGACATATTCCAGTGAGATTATAATAAGAAAGAAACCAGTAAAATGGACAGAGAAAGTATTCCATAGAAGAAAGTCAACCATTTTATGGTTCTACACATTTATAATAATACATCACAAACACATTCTGAAACCCAAATCCGATAATTCACATAAGAGTCTCCTAGCCTCCTCCTCGGCGCAACAAAAAACGGGGTAAAAGAAAATCAGAAGAAAAAACGAAATCTGAACAATTGATATGGCGAACCAACACAACTCCCAATTTCCAACACCCAATTCCATCCTTTCACGTCCCAACTTTTGTACAAGTATTTCCTTCATATTCCTA